TTAACTTTTATAAAGAATATCTCTTTGGATTTGAGACTTTAGTCTTTGCAACTTTACAGATCTTCTTTATGCACCAAGAGCTTGTAACACTCCAAAGAGAAAGGAAAAATTGAAATCGCATCATATGACCCCTTTAAGGTTCCCATTCATACTAGGGTCAGTTTTACAAACAGCTTGCGTCAGCGCCAGCTGTCTTTTGCCGTTAAAATAGTACTGTCAGGTTTAACTAAAGATGTGCAGTGAAGAATTCGCAATATAATGTTCGTCTGTGTTCAGTGTTGCCAGGCTGCTGTTACTGATGTTAAAGAATCTGTCCTGATCTAGTGTTCGTCTGTGTTCAGTGTTGACAGGCTGCTGTTACTGATGTTACTTCACTGCTGCAGTGTTAGTGTTGGTCTGTATTCAGTGTTGACTGTCTGCTGTTCCTGCTTTTACCACAAGTTGGACTTCTCCTGCCGCTCTGCTCTGGATCTGACAACAAACACAGACTCAGAGCCTCTACATCTGACCGCTGACGACTGCCGTGTGATGTCCAGAGTCATTCAGAGAGCTCACTCAGACACAAAGACACGGCTGATTCTGCAGGACTGTGAGATTCATACAGCTGGAATGGATCAGCTGTTCCCAGTGTTACATTCTGTTCAGCTCTGGTGAGAAACACCAACAGATCACATTCACACACAGATCCAATATAAAAGCATTCAGTATATATAACGCATCTCTTGCTCTCTGTCTTTCAGCTGTGATAAACCTCTGCTGCTTCAGTTTCTGACTCATGTGAGGCCTGAGAAAGCTCAGTGTCTCTCTAGAGCTCTGGGTGAAGAGTTGGATCTCAGTCAGACTCAGCTGGATCTGCAGGTCTGTAGAGGTCTGGAGCTGATTCTGGAATATTCTGAAGGACTGACAGAACTGGATCTGAGTCAGTGCTGTCTCACCGATCACAGCCTGGATCTGCTGCTCCCAAACCTCCACAAAGCTCAAAACATTGAGTGAGTGACTGAAGAAACTCAAAGTGTACATTTCTCAAGTATAATTGTAATAGTTCTTACATTCCTGGTTTGTTTTTTGATCTCAGTTTTAGTGGCAATAGCATCACTGATGCTGGGGCTGAGAAAATCCACAGGATCGTCACGCGCAACAGTAACATAAAGACAGTAAGGTGTGTCTGAGTGTCACAATGTAGCCCAAAGTTGTTTTGTTGTTAATTTTTATTTATTTTGTTTTGCCACTTTTCATTCTCTCATTTCATTCATTGTATCACACCAGTCATCCATTATAAAAGAAATGTATAGGGACAATTTATACTTGTCAACAAAATTTAAGCAAAGCTTTTAGATCAAAATCTTTGTAGTCATGAAAAAAAAATCAGTCAAGTGTGTTCAAATTTTAATGGATAGTTTATATTGTCATGTGCGACGGAGTGAAAATCATTAAAGATGTTAAGTGTGTGTTTCATTTACATGTATTCATTTATCAGATGCTTTCATCCAAAGCGATTTACAGATGAGGAATACAGGCAGCGGGTTGTAGCTAATATCAGTGTGTTTATGTATTTCTGTAGGCTCTTCAACAACAGAATTGAATCCAGAGAGCTCTTCAGGACAGACCCCCGATTTGAGATCTGGTGATGCCAGTAAACTCTCTCTGGAATCAACAAACAGGTGAAATAACCAGTGGGAAATAATAGGGTAACAGGGGTAAAAAGCTTTGAGGAATCTGCCCATCAGAGTCCCAAAGAAAAATCATGCCACCAGTTTGTAAACCACATTAATTTTTATCATCACTTTCAATCATAATCAGCAGTGGTTTTCTGTTGCATTAACTGTGTTTTGTAAAATGACAAAATAAATCTTCTTTGTAAACTGTCTTTCCCCTTCTCCACACTTTATATTATTTGCGTCATGCTGAGTTTATTTTTTAATTGCATACCAAAAAAATACAAAAACATTTGCGTCATGCTCAGTTTATTTTTTAATTGCATATAAAAAAAAAACAAAAAAAACAAGTAGAGGGCAGCAACAAGGGCCAAGAAAATCCACAGTGAAGGTGGCAAGGAGGAGATAGACATCAAAACAACCAAACGAAAGAGCAAGTGCATTTATACCATTGATTAGCTAATCTTTCCCTCTTCATCCTAAAGAAGAGAAAGATAATTTGCAAGCAGGCAGTGTTTGACTGTCTGAACTCCAGTGTTTATTGCAAACACAATACAAGCGAGACATTATACTCAGGAAATCACACTTACCTCCTACATGTGACTGAAATGTTTGGCTAGTTAGGCAGGAGGGTAAAAAAAGGGCTTTTGTTTTTACAGCTACAGTATTAATGTCATGGTACTAAAGCAGTTAGGATATGTCACAACTGTATTACAGATGTTTGCAGGACTTTCCTCCTACTGTTACTTCTGTCTGTTTTTCAATTTTTTTTATTGATAACTTTATTTTTGTATTGAATTCTGTGTAGAGTTCTTGGCCAGTATGAATCTGTGGGTATGATCATGAACTGTTACTGTAATGAATTGAAATAAATAAATCCAACATGCTTTTGGAAACTTGAACCATGTTTTGCTTTTCTTGACTTTTCCTAAAACTTGAATAATTTTCGATGATAATCATGATATCGCTTTATTTCATGCTTTATTTTCTTGGGCACAATGGATATTGAATCATTACTCGGGAACAGACTTTAAGATTTTGTCTTTTTTGAATTATATAGCTTCTGGATTTGAGATGTGTTTATCTGATTTTAGCAGTGCTTTTGAGCAATATATTCTAAGGTAGAGAAATAGAGGACGATCTGATGGAGATGCACATCCTCGTCAGGGTTTATGAACATGACTGTTGCCATGACGATTCCATTTCCACAGACATGCTGGAACAACGGCTCCAATCACTGAAACAATCTCAGAGCTTTTTCAGTTGGTCAATGAATACGTCTGTACGACAAGAGAGTGCTTACAGAGCATAAAAGCATCTCAACATCTTTTGGAAAGAGAGATGAGCAGCTGTTGAAGTGCCTCGTATACATATTCAACAATATTACACTTCAGTGAGGTTTGTTTTGAAGAGATACACTCGCAAAAAGTATTTTCTTACTCAGTATTTTTGTCTTGTTTTCCAATATAAATATCTACATAAACATTCTTAATTCAAGATACATTTACTTGAGAAGCGAAACCGTCATCTGCTGTCACCCTGATGTCCAGATATATGTCTCTGGAGAGATCTATTGCGTCTGACCTCTGATCACTCTTCACCAAAATAATCACTAGAAGATATGCTTCGAGTTTTACGTCCATGTGTGGAGATTTTCTAAGTTTATCTATGTTTCGACCAACCAGAATATTTCGTCTTTCTTTCTATGCATTGACGTAATTAGTGACCTCTGTTAGAGTATAATTGCTGGTGTTTCTAACATGTACGCAGAGCGGCCTACAAACTCCATCGAGAGTGTTGAAGCTGTCTTCTGCTGATGAAACTGCAAACTATTTTCTTCAGTAATCGTTTCTTTAATTGATCACATCTCTGACTCCTGGTCTTCATTCATCACACCGGGTCCTTTGGGTTTCACTTTAAATTCCCCTACAGTCTTTTCTGGCGTCTTCCTACTGAAATAAACATTTAGTGGAGCAGGCATGGAATATTTTTTATCAGAATATAAATTATAATCAGCAGGTATCAGAATATAAATTATAATCGATACAAGTATATAATACAAGTATAATCAATGCTAGCCTTTCATGTGAGCAAGTTATTTTGCTATTCTAATCATAATGTATTTGTCTGAATGCATAGGATTGTAAGGGAATGGAGTGTGTGAAGCTCCTCGTCACCTGTCCACTTCTTAAAATAAAAGACGGCAGATAGTGAGATGTAAGGAATGCTGTTGGAGTGGATGGTATGTATATATAGGAACATGAAGCCAGACTCCACAGTTGCTCTGCAGACCGACTCCACAGCTCAAGACTGAGAGTGATTTTTCACAGAGCCAGAAGAAATCTACAACACAGGCAGCGAGCATGTGAGTTGCACCTCAAGACTTTGAGTGGTTTTTCACAGAGCCAGAAGAAATCTACAACACAGGCAGCGAGCATGTGAGTAAATTGTGTTTAATTCAGACCTGAGCGATTTTGAGTGCTTTTGTGTGTTTGTTTGTGTGATTATGTCAATGTTTGGACTAAAAAAACGTATTGAATGTCAGGTCAAATGTCAAAGTTTGAGATCTGTGATGGGAATCGATGTTATAAATGTTCATTTAGATAAATATGAATATAGTTTGACACTGGACACATTAAATATTGTGTTGTGGTGCTTTTTATTTTTAAATATTACATTACATGTACATTTAGTCATTTAGCACACACTTTTATCCAAAGCGACTTACAAATGAGGACAATGGAAGCAATCAAAACTAACAAAAGAGCAACAATATGTAAGTGCTATAACAAGTCTCAGTTAGCTTAACACAGAACACATAGCAAGTTTTTTTTAATTATATAATAAATAAAAAGAAAACAGATAGAATAGAAAAAGAATAGAGCAAGCTTGTGTTAGAGGCCTTTTTTTGCTTTTGTTAATTGTATAATAAATAAAAAGAAAACAAATAGAATATCTATCTATAATGTCTTCAGATCTCCTGTAAACTGACACTTAAAGCTCAATCCATTGGTGTCAACAGACTGTGTTATTTTTTACAAACATGCATTTTTTCTGACAAAATACTTTAAAATGTTTTTCTGTTTCTAGATATCTGCTGTTATTTTAACGAACAAACATAATAATGTTAGAATTAGAAATAAACATTTGTGAATTAGCATTAGTTGTTTTTCAATAGACAGATATAGATGCTTAAATGTGTCAATTAGTGTAAGAGTCAAAGACAAAAGGGGTTTACATAGCCCCAAAAAAAAACTAAACTTAAATAAATAAATAAACTGCATCAAATTAGATTTACACTGAACAAAAATATAAACGCAACACTTTTGTTTTTGCCCCCATTTTTCATGAGCTGAACTCAAAGATCTAAGACTTTTTCTATGTACAACTGATTAGACAGCATGATTATTGCACAGGTGTGCCTTAGGCATCTTGATATGCCACACCTGTGAGGTGGATGGATTATCTCGGCAAAGGAGAAGTGCTCACTAACACAGATTTAGACAGATTTGTGAACAATATTTGAGAGAAATAGGCCTTTTGTGTACATAGAAAAAGTCTTAGATCTTTGAGTTCAGCTCATGAAAAATGGGGGCAAAAACAAAAGTGTTGCGTTTATAATTTTGTTCAGTATATATATATAT